GGGTCACACAGATGGTAAAGTGTCTGAAGCCAAACTTGGATTCAGGAGGAGGTCTTCCTGATTCCAAGCCCAGTGCCCTATCCACTGTGCCACCTCGGTGATGGCACAGAGAATTTACAGCCCACCGAAAACTCCCAGAACTTTCCCCCACAAACTGCAGTCTAACCACATACCCCTTTATCTTCTACCCTTGAAGTTGAGTTTTGGGATCAGTATGTGGAATAAGCAATTTTTATAATTAGGAAGAGATTGTTTTAGGAAAACTTTGCAGGATCACAGATTTTGGACTGGGAATGGACTTCCTTACACATCATGCAGTCAAATTTTCTTTTTTCTTTTTTTTTTGTTAGGCAATGGGGTTAAGTGACTTGCCTAGGGTCACACAACTATTAAGTGTCTGAGGCCAGATTTGATCTCAGGTCCTCCTGAATCCAGGGCTGGTGCTCTATCCACTGCACCACCTAGCTGCCCCTAAATTGTCTGAATTTCACAGGTGAACAGAGAGGCCCAGGGAGACCAAGTGGAGCAAGCCCAGGTTAAAGAGAGTAAGTAGCAGATGGCATTTCCAGGTCCCTTGGCTCCCAATTTAGCCCTCCTTTCGCTGTACTGGGATGATAGGATCAGAGATTCAGAGCTGAAAGGGATTGTAAGAGGGGATCGAACTAATCCACTTATTTTACAGCTGAGGAAAGTGAGGTCAAGAGAAAGGAAGTGACTTGCTCAAAGCCATGCCTGGGCATTCAGCTGCACAGGTCCAGCCCTCATTCCTTTGCCTTGTAACCTCTTTCAGCTGAACCATTGCAGTGGCTTCCAGGTGGGTCTGTCTGCCTCAGGTTCCTCTCCACTCAGATGCCCAAAAGATTTTTCTAAAGCAGAAGCCTGATCATGTCACTCCCCCCTATCCAATAAACTCCACGGATTCCCTGTTCCTTCCAGAATCAAACACAAAATCTTTTGTCTGGCATCTAGAGTTTCACAAATTTGCCCTTTCCCATATTTGCTGTCTTCTTACATTTTATTCACCTCCATGTATTTCACAATCCACCCAGTTACCTTCTTGCTTTTCCTTCCTCATCTCTGATTGTCCCCTGTGCCTGGAATGCTCTACTACCACCACGTTTCCCTAGTGTTATTTAAGATACAATTCAAATCCCATCTTCCCCAGGCTTTTCCCACTCCCCCTGGTACTACTAGTACCTTCCCTCTTCTCCATTATTATCTTTTAAGTTACAGACTTAGCATGTTTTCTCCCTCGTTACTATGTGAGCTCTTAAGAGAGGATAGGGATTGCTTTTTGCCTTTCTATGCTTAACAGTGTCTGGCACATATTAAGCACATCAGCTGGAAAAATAAAAAAGGACCGAGAGCCTCTCAACCTACAGTTTATCTCCTTTTCCAAACCATCCTCTATATAGCCATTAACTGCAATTCCTCCAGTACAGGTCATACACTGTCACTCCCTAGCTCAAAGTACCTTGGTTCTCTTTCTTGCATCCTTTGCTCAGATTTTAAACCCTTCACAATCTGGTTGGCTCCCCTTCCAGATTTATTGCTTATTACTGTCCACCAAACACATTCATGGTTAAAGTGACTCGCTGTCTGTGAGTCTCCACATGCGACCTTCAATCTCCCCTCTTCGTGTCTTCCCAGAGGCCATCAATCTCCCAGTGTTTGAAAGCCCTTCTTCACCTCTTCCCGTGTAGAAACCCCAGCTTTCTTCAAAGCTCAAGGGTCACCTCCCCCAGAAGTCTCTCCCGATTCTCCCCTCTCAACTTGTTCATGCCCTCTCCCCAGAGATTACTTTTTCATGTATTTTTAATTATTTATGGACATATTATTTAACTCAAAAGAATATAAGCTTCTAATGGCAGGCATTCCTTCATTTTTATTTTTTTATTCTCAAAGTCTAGAAAAGAGCATGGCACATAAGCACTGAACTACCTGCTGAATGACTATATGGGCGGGGACGTGAAAGGCAGCTGACATTTCTTTAGTCCTTCAAAGGTCACAAAGGGCTTCACCACGATTATGTATGGCAGGTGTAAACAGTATTCCCATTTTACAGAAGAAACCAAAGCTCAGAGAGGCTGACTTGCTTACAATCACACAGCTACTGTCAGAAGTGGGATTTGAACCTAGGTCTGCAGGACTTAAGACCAATACTCTCTTCATGACTCCATACTGCTTCTCCAGAGGTAGGAAGAACAGTGCAGGAAATGAACCATCCAAACCATTTAGCACAGTGTCATGCATATAAATAGGCACTTTATCTGCTGAAGTTAATTATCAGAGTAGATGAACAGAAATTCCCTATTGCTTAAAAAACAGATTAAGAAGTCAACCCCTGGAGCTTGGGAAACCATTAAGAATATTTGCAAAAGATGCTAAAGGAAGTTGTACTAATCAGGGACCACTTCAGATAGGTGCCTTTCCCTCTTCCTCCTCCTTTTCTCTACAGTATATGGTATTAACTTGTTCCAAAGTTTCATATTTTATAGAATAATATTCCCTTTCTTAATATTCTCACTGTTAATCTTTTACTGAACTTCCATACATGCATTCCACCTAAACCCACATCAGTAAATAAACATTAATGTGTTTACTGTGCGGTCAAGCACTGGGAAAACAATGAAAGGGAGAAAAACATGGTTCCTGCCGTCAAAGAACTCACTTTCTAATACAAGACATACAACTATGTTACATACAGGATAGAGCAGATGAAAGATAATTTCAAACGGAAAGCACTAGCAGTTTGGAAATACACAGGGAAAAAAGCCTTCTGCAGAAGCTGGGATCTGAGCTGAGCCTTGAAGGAAGAAGCCAGGGAAATAGAGGTGGGCATGGCATAGCATTTCAAGTATGGGGGATGGCCAAAGCAAAAGCATGCAGATGGGAGACTGAAAATGTCATGGCAGTTTGTCATGGCGGAAGGATGGCAGGTTGGCCACTGTAGCTGGAACAACAGTGTGTAGAAAGGAAAGTGTGAGACTAGAAAGGTAGGGAAGGGGTTAACTTACAAAGATCTTTCAACGTCAAAGATTTTTCTTTTAAGAAAATCAAATAAGCTTTAGATTTTGGAATATCACTGTAGCCCTCAGAAGATACACCTGCGCCACTAATTTGTATTTTACAATGTATTACAATTCCTTTTGAGATGGTGATATTTTATCCAACTAAACATATCTAAGCAATTGAGAATATCTTATCAACAAATATTTAGTCTATTGTTTTACCTATTATACAGTACAACTAGAACAAGAAAAGAGTAGTTTTCTGAAGCTGGAAAAAAAACCAACCCTGACCAGCCATGCATTTATTTCCACATTAAATATGCAAGGCTGTTCATAATCTCTAAGTATCTGCAAGTACGTGAGACTTCTCTTTACAAATGTAAAAAAGTAGAAAATGCAGTTGAGAAATCAATTATAAGAAATTCTTTAAAGGTCTGATACTTTCCAGTTAGTTGCCTGTAAATATCCTCAATAGTGGATTCCTATATCATAATATGCAAAGCAGCTAGATGGTACAGAGTCAATGCTGGGCCTAGAGTCCAAAGTCCTGAGTTCAAATCCAAATTAACGTGTTTACTATGTGGGTGTGATCCTGGGTATTTCACTTAATCTGACTCAATTTCTGCAATAGTACTATGGGGATGATAATACCACCACCATGCTGGTTGTGAGGACTGAATGAGATTATTTGTGAAGTGCTTAGTACACTGCCTAGTACATAGTAGGTAGTGGATAAATGTGTATTTCCTTCCTTACTAGATAGGTGATACTAAATGCATTAAAGAGTATAAGAAAGTGTAACAATCTAACATAAGAACTCTCATCTAGTAGTGAAGGACTCAAGTAAACAAGTGAAATACTGTTATAAATCTCACATTTGCAAAAAAAAACAAACAAAAAAAAGGAGGTATTTTCTCCATTGTCTTCAATGGAGAAAAAAAGAAGTATTAAATATTTACCCTTATAGGCTCCATAGTACTCTATTCCTGAAATACAGTGCTTGTTTCCTTTTTTTTTAAAACACACTGCTTTGGGTTTAAAAGCAAATGCAAACATATTCCTGCATCTTTAATGAAGAAACAGTATTCACATCTTTAATTCAAATACAAATCTTAACTTGAAAGAGAAATGACTCTGTAGAATCAAACATCGATGAAATTTAGAATAGTAGAGGAAGCATGGCCTGATGAATAGGGAGAGCCCTAAATAATCAGGGAGGGTTCAAGTCCAGTCTCTTTCATAGACTGACTATGTGACCCTGGGCAGGTCACCTGACCTATCAATACCCCGGCAAGTCTCTAAAATTATCAATCTAAAAGAAAATGGTACTTTGTGTTGACAGAAGTTTATCTCGGGGGAGCGCCTTACCACTGATGAAATCATGGATCCAGTTAAAAATGAAGCAAAACAAGATTCATAAAATAATGATACTGAGACATAAACTTTGTTTCAAACTGAGCTGACTTCTTTCACCAGTAGAACATTAGTTTTTTTAGATTTTTCATTCACCATCACATCAATTAAAAATAAACCTGCTTTTAAAAATTAACGTGTAAAGACCGCACATCAAAAGTGTACCTAATATATCTGATGGTAAACATGCCTCAGAAAAAACACACCCACTTAAGTAATATAAATTTTACAAATCTTTTTGCCAGTGACATTCTGAAATCTGAAAAGAACCAATATTAGGGAGAAAAAAAAACCCAAATCACCTACTATACAAACGTGAATGTTTTTAGTGTAGGTATAACTACCATGATGAAGGATTGAAATGGTTTTCTAACTTTCTTGTAGCATTTACAATGTAGGATGTGTGAACTGTAAAAGTCAAAATTCTTAAGACACTTAAGAAAATCTGAAGTAACAAGGTAAGCCACCACAGGGAAAGGAAAATAAACACAACATAAATTTCAATGCCATTAGGCCACTGCTCAACACTTCAAAGTAGAAACTCCAATACAATTCAGAAAGACTTCAACTTCAAGGTTTTCTGTAGGTTTTTTTTTTTATTACATAAGCAATAAACTCTCAACATATAAACTTTCAGATATAACAACTCAGTAAGCTCTATCCATAAACTCATGCTCAGAGAAAATGCTATCAATAAATAAATTCCCCTCGGGTAATTCTTGAGGCTTTTTTGAGAGAATCGTAGTTACAACTTTCAAATTGAATGCTGTAATTTAAAAGCAATTGTTAATCGTAAAAAAGTTACAGCATTCCACTACTGAAAAATAAACTTATTTATCAAGAAAGTTACAGTATTAGTTTCAATTCTCTATTAACTCCTGACAAAGAGACGTTGCCGGGCAGAAATGTCCTCATAGCGTTCGTTCCTAGCTGTTACCATCGCAGGTTAGATTTCAGTAGCGATGTCCATATGCTCCTATTGAGAGAAAAGAGACACACACACACACACACACAAATCTAATAGTTAAAACCAGAGCCAAATATAAGCTAATAGTTAACTCGCCATAAAGCTTCATGATGAATATTTAATTTACAAAGCACCATCCTGACATCCTTGCAAAAACACAGGGGACACCACAGAGGAAAAACACTATATAATAAACAGAATCAAAATATAGTATAAGACAGGCTGGCAAAACTGAAAAAAAAAATAGCAATGCTCTCTACTAGATTGTATTAACGAGTTAATAAAAAAAGGACTCTGCTATGTGGGTCTCATGATCAACCACATCACCAGGTATCCAACTAAAGTTGCTAAGGCTTGGAAACATCCCTGTCATAGAGGAACTGCTTCTTGAATCCTATTCTTCTATTTCAAACAAGAAACCCAAATGGCACTTTTCCATCCCACTACTGGCACCTACTGCAGAAACCTTGCTCTTATTCCTCAGGAACATACAGTCAGAGCACTAATACTGGTATTTTTTTCCCCTTAATAATACACATTTTACTGTAGCTCCTCATGGGAACAAGACGATTGGGCAAGTTGCTCCCCTCCTACGCCAGTTTCAGAATGTTCTAGTAATTAATATACTACTAATAATAAAAAGACCGTGGCTATGAGTGATGGGTATGGGCATTCACGTGTTTGTGTCTCACTCACGTTCCTGTGGCCTGGGAGTTCAATCACAATGTCTACAATCTTTTAAAAATCAGTGGTCAAAGTTCTGACAAATTTTTCTTTGACAGGTGGGGGGGTGAGGGTGGGGAAGGGAGGTAAGAAATCAGTGATGGACCCTGACAAAAGCCAGAGGAAAGGGTACAGGACAGTTGGCTCTGACAAGTGATGATGAGGGCAAGGAAGGCTGCCTTGGGTTGTAAAAGCCTTAGCAACAGAAGCCCAGGATCCTTGAAGGCATGATTAAATTGGATGAATTGTGGTACAGGAGTGCCATTAGTGAAGTTACTCATTATTATCCCACTAATTAGGAAACAACTATTCATTTGATTGTATTTGCCATGTTGTCTTTCTCCCCCCTGACCCCCCGCCACAACCCCTGCCCCTGCTCTTTTAATAAAAATTTCATAGCAGATTGTTCTTGATGATTGTTTCAATATTCTCCGTGGCTTTGCACAGTACAATCATTTTTCTCATATGAAAGTCTAAAAACCTCACAGAACCTCTAACGTGGCTGACAGCAAAGGGGATCCTAAGGAGAACACATTTTAAACGTTCATTAACAATATTACTGTGTGTACTTGGATTATTATATAAAAGAAATGTTTTCAGTAAGAAAGATGTCAGTTAACAAAGCAGAATTACACGAACAAGACCATGATTCAAATATAATGAATATGAAAGTCTATACTGTAATAAAAACTGAAATACTGAATTGCTAAACACAAATTGGAGACAAGGCCATGCAACTTAAACAAGTGAAAAAGTGGAATGGCACACTTTTCAGGGACACTTAAAATATTAAGGAACTCGTGTCCTTACCTGTATTACTAGCACCTTACATAATTAAAACTGAAAGAAACGTAAAAGTTGATTTATTTTCTTTTGCCATTTATCTGTCTGGAATTTTTAATTTCAAATACAGATGGTGGTTATTATCTCATTTTCATCATTTCTATAAGCTAAAGACATTTTCAGAATATAAATTTTACAACTATGTAGTAGATATTGTCAACTTTGTCCCTCTAAATAAGTATGGTTTTAACGTCAAAGGACTACAATGCATTCGATTTATTTATTGATTACAAAAAATAAAATTCAAGCATTTTGCTTCAGAAAACAAAGTATCAATTTTTTCACTAGAAATCATTTACAATGTTAATTCTAAAAACCATACTTTAAAAAAATTAGTTGGATTAGTCCTTCCTATGTATGGCTGTGCTTCTACTGTTAATGCTGCCATGTTGCCCTTTACAACATAACTCATCAAATGATCTTTCCCTATGTGTTTATGTACATATGAACATATATGCAATATACTTATATTCTTTCTTAGCAATACTTGAGATTCATTCCTTTCCCTCCACTCATTCATCAAACTCTTATCTCATCACTAATTGGCCACAACCCCACTGTCACTACTACTCCCTGTTATTAATTCACATCATTCCATACCTCAATTATGGTGATTGTCTTCTAAATCTGGCTATTCTTTCTCCTTCAAATCTCTACTGGTGTACCCCACCCTCACCCCCACACTCCCCCTTCCCCTCCCCAGGTTAATGCAATTAAAACATTATTTGCCACATGTCATTCCCCTGCTTAAGGCTGCTTACTACCCAATGAATTAAGCCCAAATTCCTCAAATGGCTTTCCAGTCATTCCATTGCAGCAAACCTTATTACTGCCTAACATGGAAACTTGGCTCCCAAACTCTCTATATCTTTCCCAATCTCCAAAGTTCAGCTTAGTTTTCATCTCCTCAGTGAATCCCTCACTAGGCCACTAGAATTTCTCCCTTCTATGAATTCTGTTTGCATCCACTACTTATACTGCAAAATGTAGAAATTCATTATTCTTTTTTTTTTTTTTGGCTAGGCAATAGGGTTAAGTGACTTGCCCAGAGTCACAGAGCTAGTAAGTGTTATGTGTCTGAGGCCGGATTTGAACTCAAGTCCTCCTGAAACCAGGGCCAGTACTCTATCCACTGCGCCACCTAGGCTGCCCCTTCATTATAGTCTTGTTGACTGTTTTACACATCTCTTCTACTGAGGCACAGCATACTGTAGTGAAAATAAAGTTGGACCTAAGATTCAGGAAACTTACGTTTGAAATCTAAATTCATGCAATACTTAGATCATAGGCAAATCACAATCTTATAGTCTCAGCCTCCTCAACTGCAAAACTGGGATAATAAAATATGTACTATCTACTTCAAAAGGTTGCACACCTTAAAGCACAATAGGTGGGTTATCGCCATCATCATTTTCACATACAGGGTTACCAAATGTGCCATTAGGGTAATGGGGGCAAATTTTTAGAAGAGACCGCATATCAGAATGGAAAATGAAGCTGTCTTTTACAGATCTCCTCCACGTAAATTCAGCCCTTACCATAATACAGACTTCTCAAGTGATTCCATGAAACCCTGAAGGAGGGATATGAAAATTCACTCACTCCGTAACTGTCTTTTGGATAGTTCACAAACAGGTGGAACGGACATATTTATTTTTTTAATCTCTTATGTCTTCTGTAATCATATTAAATTTAGCCCAGCTCTAGGTTCAAATTCGACTTTCATTATGCCTTTCAGAAACTTAGAGTTACATGCTTTATATGAAACAAATATATGCCTGGGGAAAACAGTATTCAGTCAGTGGCCATTCCCAATTTTTTCAGGCTGTTTGGGCACTTACATAGTAAAAATAAAATACTTACCATTGGGTCCCACCATTACATTCTGACCAAATCCATTTTCTACAAAGGTGGCAAGTGGGTAATTATACAGTGCTATATACATTTGATATATGGGAAGTCAGAAAGCACAAAAAAAAATCCCCAAAATAAATTTTTTTAGGATAAATTAAACAAGTAATATAGATATCTTTTTTTTTTAAATTTAAAGATTGTTTTCTTAACTTTGTGCCTTCTTTTAGTTTAAAACAGTACCCTTAGGGTAAAGGTGAGACCTAATATCAAGCATCAAAACAAACCAAAACCTCAAACTAATTTAATAAAATATTTTTTAAAACAGTTAAAGCTTTTTTTTTTTAAAATGTTGAAAGGTCTCAGTATATAACTTATTTCATGTCTGGTTCTAATTACTTTCTAGCCCTGCTTATACTACATTTATAATGGTGGCTTAGTTTGTGTGCTGAAATACTTACAAGAACTACATTAAAGCCAAGTAATCGTTCACTTCATCATTATGATGATGGTTCATACCATTAATGATTATCGATTTGAAATATATTTACAAGCAATATATAGTTGAACTCCTCCTCCCCTACCCTATCCCCAACCCTTTCCCATCATTGCCAGGTCAAATTATTTCTAAAATGCAACTCATGTCTAACTAAAGAAGTCATATCATTATGCTATAGTAACAGAATTTTTACAGAAAAAAAAGCATGATAGACAGACTATACAGTGCTATCATTCATGAAATGGTCATTTTTTTTTCATTTAGATAAGCTGATTTTATACATTCCTAGACTTTCTAGAAGACAACTTCATTGACCTAAAAGTCAAGAATACAACTAAAACAAAGAAAGTAAGACTAAGATGATAAAATATCTTTGTACTTATAACCACAGAATAAAAGATTCCATTTTAGGGGAAAATAAAAAGATTTTAAAACTTAGCTTTTATTGAGTGAGAATTTGGCTGATTAATATAAGATTTACTCTAATGATGGGAGAAAATTTGGGAGTAATGATGACTGAAGCCAAATGAGAACCTATTAGGTACAATGAATTATGTTAGGTGCCAGGAATACAAGGAACAAGTGAATGAAAACATTTATTAAACCCTTACTATGTGCAAAACACTTTGCTAAATGTTGGGAACACAAATAGAAAAGTAAGATATGTCTCTATTCTCATTGAGTTCACATTCCATTGAGGGAGACAAAACAGGGGTTTCAGCTGCAAGACATCTGGAGAACCAGTGGCTCTTTGGGTACAGCAGCAAAAAAGACAGCAAATTCACCTTCCTTGATGTCATTTCCATTGATAAAACTAATAAAAAAAAAACTCCATAAAGTTCACACAGCTTACAATGGAAAGTGGGGCAAAACAGTGTGTGCCACTGGGCCAGAGACCAAAGGAAGAGAGTGAACAAGGCAGGACACGTGTGTGACTATGGTAGTCCACTTAAAAGTGAGGTAAATAGTATCCAGTTCCAGTTCTGTGCCCCCAGAAGTCATTTGGGGCAGGTACCTAGGCTAGTATACCACGAACTGTCCAGCTTGGAATGGCTGAGATGCTCTGAGATCAAAAGACAACGAGCCACAAAGT